TGTACCTGTATATAAAAAACGCGCCCTATAGTCCGGTGCGCCTTATGTGTGTGTTAAATACAGAAATGGCACACATAACTGAGAGTGCGCCTTTTAGTCCGGTGCGCCTTATGGTCGTGAAAATACGGTATATATATATATATATATATATATATATATAAATTTGATCTTTGAGTGGTCCAGTTAAAGTCCAGACTTAAATCTGATAAAGACTCTACTAAGACCCTAAAAAGCCTGTTCTTCTATTCAAATCCTCCAGTGGGGTTGAATGAAAAATGTTTTGTAAAGACAATTTTGTCAAAAGCCCCCCAAAGCAGCATAAAGTACTCAAGACAGCTATCAAAAAGGTTTAATCGCAGTTGTTGCCTTATGCCACTGAGTTTTGAAGAAATTTATTTGTTCAAGAAGGAACAAAGGAAAGTTTGCTGGACTCTCTCCTTTCCTGTGATGAATAAAATAATTAGCCAAAAACATGCCTTTATATTTACTTAGGTTATCATTGTCTAACTCATATTGAATTTATTCCAATTGATCGCAAGCTTTAGGTTTGAGTAAAAGAACTGTAAGCTGTCCCTTCACTGGAAATTGGATTTTCATCAGACAAAGAAACAAAATTAAAACTCACAGGCAACAGGTTATTTTAAACCTATACATAATTCTACACATTAGAAACCCATTTAAAGACTGTTGTAAGAATATATGCAGCTTTCTATATTTGTACATAAAATTTGTTCTTCTTGCCCATCTCCATGATATGTTATAGTTAAAGATATCTCATTCAACGGGTTTTCCAACTTAGTGTAAAAAAAACAAAATGCAAGCATTAAGCCTACCTGTAGTTTGAGCTTTTCTTTCCATGAAAATAACTTTCATGCAGATGGTTTTGTTTCCATGTTCTGCATAAATGCTCCTTCTAAGATGAGGTGGGGTGAGAGAGGCAACATGAGGAAAAGCAGCCAGGCAGTGCGCTGCCGCAGCCTCACAGACGGGACAAGCAGAGCTAGAGCTGGGACAGCCGAGCGGCAGCAGTTTGTTCCCTTTTACAGGGAACAGGGAGGGGCGAGAGGAGAAAGGAGGAGAGAAAGGGAGACTGCAAAGATGAAGAGATGTGGAACAGAACAATCTTTGCAGTTGGTTTATTAGCAATATGCATGTCATGTTTCCCAATATGGCAAGTTTCACTTTTTAAACATATCTTCAAATCTTAAGAGAATATATTCTAACTGTACTTCCAATCCCTTAATGTTTTATTGTTTTAAATGGTGTCATGGATTTGCTTGACTGCTCAAACTGTAGCTAAAAGGAGCTGACCTCAGCTTGTGCATGCTGGAGAGAGTAAAGTAGTAACGTCAGACATTTTAATCCTCTCTGAGAAGGTACTGCTGTCAGGCTGGCTGCCAAATCAAACTCTTCCACACTATTTGGCATCAAAGTCAATTCCGGAATACCTATGGAAAAAGAATAGTTTTAAAGTGAGTTACAAAATTAAAAAGCCATGTTTACACCAGTATTGTGATTGCATTTAACCTAACACCACTACTAGATGCTTTACTTTGGTATTAAACTTAATCAAGCTAATTCCTCATTCTTCTGGATTGTTTTCTGTTAAAAGAGAGATGTTCATGACCACTTTAGAGAAGAAAAAAAAAACTTTTAAAAAGGTTGAAAATCTAATAACTTACAGCAGTAAGTTCAAGCTATCAAACTGAATACATATTTTATTATTCTTTCCTTTCATGGTCAAGAAATAAAACAAAAGGAGAAACATTGATTTAGAACAGAATTCATTTCAAAGTCATGTCATGGCATGGCAAAAAAAAGAGTTTTTGTACATATTTTTTTATTACCAATGAAAATATTTAGCAATACTATAATATAAAATCAAAAGAAATTTAGATTTTAAAAACTTTAGAAACATATAGATATTTATTTCTCTTGCTTTTATTCATTTATTTGTGCATCCAAAAGATAGGGAATATCAACTGACTATAAACCATAACAACATTGTTTCAAAAAATAAAGAAAAGTTTTTATTTGGTGCAATTTCAAAAACTCATCTTTTCAAACCGAGGTTTCTGTGCTTTTAGTATTAGACTATGGCCTTTAGTTTGACGTAAAATGTTCCTGTTATTTCAAAATTTCAAAATCGTATTCTACTTAAATATGTTATAATCCTCTCATGTTGAACCCTTTAAATGCCTCTTTAACTTGAAATTCAAAATGAGAATCTTTGAATTGAAAAGATGACCAAGAGGAAATGTAGACAGATCATTTAGCATGAAGCAGCAATCAGCTCAGAGCATGCACAATTGGGTCAATCAAGCTGTAATTGGATCCACCTGTATATGTATGTATTTGTTGGACAGCCAACGGATAGGCCTGTAGAGTCCCTGTCATCTCATTGCTTTATAAGAAAGGAGAAGTAAAGGAACGTTAAGGTTACCAGTCTCCTGCAGGCTACATCATGGGTCCTCTGCTTGGATTGGGGTGAGGTTTTATTTTTTTGCCCCCCTCCTCTCCCCATTTTATTTTACCATTCCAGTTCCTGATCAAATGTTATACTTGATTTTTGGTTTTAGGTGGCTCTTTCTCTTACTAGTAGCTGCAAATATAGAGGCTCAAAAGAAGTCTTCTATAAGTAAGAGCAGTCTTTATTATTGTATGTTTTCAACTGATTATATTGGGGAGGGGGGGGTAGGTTTTCTTTACAAGTGTAATTCTAATTCCAGATATCAAAACAAAATGCCTGGGCAATATTATGCTTGTGGAGGTTGGTCCACTTAGAGGAAGTTTTTTGGATGTTGCTGTTATCATGAGTAAGTTCATGTTTTCCTTGGCTCTTAATGTATTTTTTTAATTTTGGGTTATGTGTGTGGGGTGTTTTTTCCTGCAGTCAAACTAGATATATTCTTTTTGTACCCTCTTAGATAACACGGCTGTTCTTCTTACACCAAGTATTGCCACCCAATGTGGGTTCAGCATGAAGCATGATCAATTTGGGAATGCCCTTATTTATATCTCCCTGCAGAACTGCTTTTCTCAAAATGTGGTAACAAGACTAAAATTTTCTATATTTATACAAAGTATTTTTCTGTAATCCTGTATAATGGCATAAACTAATTGATTCCAGGAGGATAAAACATTCACAACAGCACTACAGCTTCACTTGCATGGGAACCAGTTTGTAAAAGGTGAGCTGCACCAGGTGGTTGAAACCTGCCAATATAATGCCTGGGCCTCCAGAGAAGTCATCTGTGACTACAACTACATGGAAGTGGGTTGAGTAAGAAATGGGATCTAAGTTTTAAAATTGGTATGCTTGATATCTAATGGCCTTATCTTTTCTAGGTGTCTGTAAAACGTGCAGCTCCAGATGACTTTCCTCTGCCACAAAACCCAGTTTCCAGCTCAAAGCTTTCAAACACTCGGCGAGCAGCGGAGGTTATAGTTCTTTCTGGTGTTATCTGGAAGATAACCCTTGGATGACTATTTCCCAAGTTGTAATCTTGTATTTGACTTTTGGTTTTTGCAGAAACAGCCTGTGGATTTGGGATTCAGAGCCACAACGGTTGTCTTTTTCACACCAGAGGGGGAAAAGCCTATGAGTGTGGCTGATGCACAGAGAAGGGGATATGGCATTAGAAATACTCCTACAAGGCTGGTCTTGAGGAGTCCAATGATGGCACCAGAAACCTACATGCAGCAAGTCTGTGAACTTTCCTAATAATTGCTTTATCTAACTTCATTCCATTATGGGAGCACACAGCATCCAAAATCCCCCTTGAATTTACTAAACTGCCTTAAGATTTAAACATAATTTTAAATTTCTCAATTTGTCTCAAAGATTTATTTTTTTTTTTTTTTCCCCTCTGGCATCTAGGTAGCAGGGGTTCCCATGAGGGTATTCAAGACTTCGACAATTTTTGAGAAAAAATGGCTTGCAACTCAAGTTGACGCTGCAGCTGCTTGTCCAATCCAGGAGGGTAAGGACACTCTGGGGCCCACTTGCTTTGTCTTGCCATCTAGTTTTAAAGAGGGGGGGGGGGGGGGGGTTGCTGCTTTATGGCTTAAAGTATTAATGCCATTAAAAGATGAATGGAACACCTTGCATCTAGTGACTCTGTAATGCTTGGCCTATGGAGAGAAAAATTATAGATGACACCAGAAAACTAAGAATTTTATGGTGTCTGACTCAAAGTTGATAAGTCACAGTGACACTTGGATTAAAAAGAAAATTAAAAATGTAGATGAAGGAAACTGAGAACCCCTACAGTGGCATTGTTTTCAGTCTCGTGCTTGACTTTCAGGTAGTGTCTTCCTCACTCAAAAAACAATCACCTGGTACCTGCCCCGGCAGATGGACCCAATGATTTCTTCTGGTCAATTTAAGCTTTTGGAGGTGCACTTTGGCATAAACGGTCAGCGGCTGAATCCCTTGGAACTACAGGCCAGGGGATACTCTGTGGCTCTCAATGACTTCTATGTCATCACTGAACTTCCCATTGGGGGTGTTGGTGGCTACTACAAGGTGACTAAATTTGAATCTTCACCTTGTGTAGTAGGACAGGCTACAATATCTGTAGTCTTGCAAAATCCATACTAGTATTTGTCTAAGATGTCGTCTTTTGCTTTACCTCTGCAGAGCCACATTCAAGATGACAAATACTATGTCTCTTACATGATTGAGCCAATGCTTGAGCTGCTTTGGACAGAAGATGCTACAAATGAACAAACAAGATACAAAGTCTTGTTTCACATTGCAACACATCTAGTACCTCAACCCCTTGAACTTATTGACAGTGGGTAGCTGAATTGTTTTTATATATTGTAGTAAACTATTTGTTTCTAAGCTGGTCTCACTTTTACCTTCTGCAGAAACTGTTCCAGGGGAGATGACATTTAAGATGGTGCTTGGACACTTTGCTGTTGATGTAGCTTTAATAAACATCACCTTCCCTGCAGAAGTGCTGTCCATGGCTGACTGTAGTGTCAGAGGCTTTAACATCTTGGAGCACATGTCTCCTAATAGTAGTATGAAGGTTTTCACTCTTGAAGTGCCATTTTCAGACCCCGCAGTCTTGAAGCAGGTAAAAATTTTACATGGACTAATGTATTGCCTGGAACTTCTTCTAATGGTCTCTTTCTCAGGCTGGAGATGGTGTGACGATCTTCTCCCTTCATCTGACCTTTGGTTTGATGCTGATGGATGAGCTTGAATTTTTCTCTTACAACGCTCATTTGGAAGCTGTTGTTCAGAATATTGGTCTGTATTTATATTGAATTTTTTTTTATGCCCTTATTGTACAATAAGATTAACTTTCTTCCCTTTTGGCAGTCCCACCCTCTGTCTCTGGTGGCTGTGATAAAGAGAACTTTTATGTCCTTGTAAAATATGGGAGCCGTGGCTACAACTTTCAGACTCTGGTGGGGAAGCGACTAATGACCCCCAGTTTGGCTCAGCATTATGACTACATGGAAAATGGAACGCACTTCAGTTTTGTTGTGCCATTTTCATCTCCTGATGTTGCAGTTGAGGTATGAATTTTTTGGGGTTTTTTTTTTTTTTTTAAGGGCAAATCGAATATTATATATATATTTTTTTTTTCTTTCCCCCAGGCAATTCAATCCTCATTCATTAAGGGCAGACTTGATGTGATTTTGAATAATCCAGAGACAAATTCTGAAATTCAGGAATTCTCCGTAGCTTGCAATTTTCTCTCAACACTAACTGGTATGTGATGTCTACCTGGACACTGGGGGGTCCCTATGAAAGCCTCTAAAGTAAATCTTTTTATTTTAGAATGTTTCCCAAATGGAACAATGACTGCTTTGGCTCTAAAACTAGAGTCAGTCCCTTCTCTGAACCCCAGCAAGCTTACCCTGGAAGACCCATCTTGTGGCCCTGTTTTCAGCAATGATCGCTATGCTTTCTTTGTCTTCACAGTAAATTCATGTGGTACAAAGAGGAAGGTATAGTGGACCTAAATTGCAAGATAAAATTTCTCACTACCACTACTAAAATTCTTATTTTCCTCAGTTCATGTCCAATGCCATGCTGTATGAAAACGAGATCTCTCTGCCAGATGAAGACCTAGCAAAAAAAGACCCAAACTCTAAGGAACCAGAGTATGAGTAAGTTTCCCCCCCTTAAATTTTTTTATATATATTTTTTTTTTAATGCTCTGAATTTTTAGTTTAAAGGTTTCTTGTGTCTATGACATCGACACAAACCAGGCTGTGGCCTTTAACACAAGACCTAGAAGAAGTGAGCCTTATGCTGAGAACTCAAAGGGCCAGCTACAAGTTGTGATGAGGCTTGCTATGGGTAAGACACAGCAGTTTTAGAATTGCTGGCTGTTTACTGCTTCAATAAAGTCAAAAGGGCAACTTGTCCAAACATTTGATGAAATATTGTACCATGAAATTGGCAGGTAAATGACAAGTGTTTTCTGAAGGTTCTTGAAACTCAAACTGAGTAAACACAGCCGACAGTTTACACTTAAAGCATTTTGCAGTTTAATTGCCTTCATTAGACATTTGAGACTAGTGTAAAATGCATCATGAAGGACTTGTGAGTTTTATTTGTATCCCTTAGATGAATCCTACAGCAAGTTTCAGAGCACAGAAGACTATCCCATTGCAAAGTATCTGCAACAGCCACTGTATTTTGAGGTGGAGCTGCTTAAATCTACAAACCCTCTGGTGTCACTAGAGCTGGAAAACTGCTGGGCAACAAAAGGGGAAAGGACATCCCAGCCAAGATGGAATCTGATAATTAATGGGTATTTTAATAGCTGACACTATAGTTTTATGTAGCTTAGAACTGAAGAACTTACATGTGCTTTAAAACATACAGCTGTCCAAACCCAGTCGACCCATACCAGGTAGTGTTCCACCCTGTTTGGGCCGATGCCAGGGTTAGGTATCCCTCTCACTTCAAGCGGTTTGAAGTCAAGATGTTTGCCTTTGCTGAAGGGGAAGAGGACTTAAATGCCAAGGTAGCTTGTAAGGGTTGGAAGTGAAGATTTTTCTAACTTGTAAGACTTGCAGCTTCTTGATCTGAATCTTGTTTTGCAGATCTTTGTGCATTGTGATGTGGTGATCTGTGATGCCAAAAATCCTCTTGGTGGAGTCTGTGGTAAACAATGTTCCAAAACAAAGGAAATGATAAGAGGTGAGTTTGAAATAGAAGTACAACTGGGGGGAGGAAGAGGAATGTTATACTACTGTGCTCTTAGCTCTCTAGACTGTATAAATTTAAACTTGCTTCTCTTTTGTTGGCAGGTCAAAAACGTGACGTTTCTAAGATCCTGGATTTTGAACATGTATCAGTTGGACCAATACGCTTGATTCTCTGAAATAAACTTTTAAAAAAATTGAACTCTTATCTGGATTTGTCTATGGGGAGGGTTAAACTAATCTACCAAATGAAGCCTTCCAATATTGACAACCTGGAAGTGACTCCTCCTGTGTCAAAACTAGCATTCTTAGTTGCACCATTTGGTTTAAAGATCCAGTAAAATTGAAAATTCAAGATGTCTCAATTTAAGGAATGTGTAGGAGGTCATTGTTGCTTACTCTGAATTTTCCATGAGTCACAAATCTTGGCCTGCCTACCCTGCATGAGAGTCTGAAAATGGCAAGATGAGGTGCCATACTAGAGTCTTCTGTGTAGCAGGCTAATGAGGGGAAATAAACAGATCCACCATCTTGAAGCTTGCTTTAAAGCTAAGCTGTGTTTGACAAGCTTGCTCAACCATCTTGGCTGAGTCAAAGGGTTCCTGTAGACATCAAAATGTAACTACAAGGCTAGGGAGATGAAGCTTTATAAAAGGATTACTTTATCTGAAAATGGGGTGGAGTCTTGTAATATTGTACCTGCATGATTAGTCACATGGAGTGCTCTTTATTGTAATGGACTCAAAAGTGTGAATACATTTTACTGGTATTTTTAGCCCAATTTGTCTTCTCCCAGTCTAGTATAGCTGGGTGGGGATAAACTACTCTTATGAGGAAATAAAACTGTTTTAGATGTAAATAAAACCTGAACTTGTTTGACCAGAATTAAATGGAATAAGATTGGAGATGATGAACAAGAAATGACTGTGTAGAGCAGAATTTAACACCTCTATAGCAGAGGTCTTGGATCTGTGGACTGGGGTCCGGACCTAACCTGATTTTGAAACTAATTACTGCATGTCGATGTCAAACATAACTTGCACTGCTACTCTTTATAAGGTAAAGTCCGAGTGTCTGGGACCAGGCTACATGTGATAGAAATAAGCCAATTGAGCTGTGTCAGTCTGGGTTGCTGCAGCTAGCCACTTGACAGCAGGCAAACCTGGGGTAAGCCAGGCAATGGAAAGATTAGTGTGGACTGCTGGAAGAACCGTGCTTAACTGGTGAAAGAAAATTGAAATGTGCTCAAAGATGACCCTGCACATTTTGAGTATGTATGGCTCAACCTACTGCTGTGAAGCAGGATTCTCCATGAACATAATCAAAAATAAATATTAATCCAGACACACAAATTAGCACCTTGATATGGTCTTGAGGATGGCTTTGTCACAATTCAAACCCAGGTTTAAAAGCCTTGCAGGGCAGCGTTAAGACCATTACTCTCATTAAGCCGTAAAGAAAAAGTAAACTGTCAGTTCAGGTGTTTCATTAAAGATGTGAATCAGGAAATCATCTATATACCAAACTACTTTTAAAAAAAACTTTAGATTTAAAAATGGAAAAAATATTCTATATTTTATATATTTTTGTTAAATGCTGTTTAAAATAAAGGATTATAATAAAAAATGTCTCCGAACCTTTGCTGGGGGTTTTTTGTTTTTTTTTTTATTCAGAACCCGCTGATTTTTAATTGGTTATCGCTGCTCTATAGGCATCTCAGACGACTCAATTCATAGACTTGTTTTCCAAGGAAAGCAAATTCCAGAGTAATGTACCCTTCAGAATCCACTCCTGGATAAGCATGTAATGAGAATAGACATTTGCTTTGTGTTGACTCCACACCCCTCACACTGACCATACATGCACCTGTAGAAGAACCAAGCTGAGTGGCTTTCTGACAAGGCCAACTAGGTCTTCAAGAAGACAAAAGCAGACTCTTAACAGGAACAGAAGCATTGATTTACTGTACAGGTAATGGTGAACTAGCTTTATAGGTGGCTCTGTCAAGGAGATGAATAGATGAGCTCAGATATTTTTGGCAAAGTATGAAAGATTATATGCATTTACTCCATTAAAGCAAAGCTCATGGAGGTGTCTAGGAGAAAAAAAACAGGCCAAACTCCATCATCCATAATTGAAGTTGGGGATATGTCACAGTCTGAGAGTACCGTGCCTGATGAAGCTATGAGAATGGCCAAGAATATACCGTTAGGTAAACTAACAATGGCAAATTGAAGTATAGAAGAATGTAACAGTGAGTAAAATTGGTGCCTGTGTCCTCAAGCACCTAAGACTACAGCAGCACGACAGGTAGTCAAAGCAATCAATAGTTTTTATACATGTGAAGTGGTCAATAAGGGGCATGTCATGTAATATGTGACCATCTGCTCATTCACCTCTCCTCCTGATCAGTAATCCTGAAATTACTTTAATAACAAGATTTTAATGTCTCTAATATCTCTTAGACATAAAACTACAGGGTGGATGTGTTGTATCTAATAACTCTAAACAGATCTTCCAATCAGTAACTAATATCCAAAGAGGACTTTTTTTTAATTTGTGGTTTGCTTATTTTCAAGAACTCCTTTACACAAAAGATGGGGAGAAAGAGAGGAGACATTGGGAAAGACAGTGCAAGGTAACTGCTTTGTCAAAAATTAGGTGGAAGTGAAGGAACAGCTACTAAATAAGTGATTGTTTAATATTTTATAGACAACTGTATTAGCAAGATGTGAGATTTAATTAATGGAGTCTAGACGGAAGTATAAAGTGATTACTTACCCTCATCTGCCTCCGACACAGGATAATCAGCTTTGAACCACACTTTCACGAAAACCCAATCAGCATCCAAAGTTCATCTTAAAAGGTCTCCAATCCAAAACTCCGTTTGCTACCCAAAGCACAAGCAGTGGTTGTGATATGTCTGACATTGATTCAGATGACCCCGATTCTAACCACCTTTAGCCCTTACTCCACCATCATAGCTAAAGCTTCATCAGGGTGTCCTTCCTCCCAGATTCTTACTGCATTCCTGTCTCATCTCAACCGATCCCTGAGTGAAGCACTAGTATCAGTGTACCCAGTCTAGTATCCACTAGTATCACCCAGTCTACTGGATCTCTCCGTATAGCTCAAGCATACCGTCTTGCCAGCCAGCAGTCTATGGACTGACAAAGTTCCATGTGACTGACATCCTAGCCTACCGTGAAAAGAGAAAGCAAAAGCCAGATGTGTTTTTTATTTATACCATCAGTGTGTAGTTAGCACATTGTGTGCTTATTAATATGATGATGGCTTATGTTAAAGGTATTGTGGAGGATTAAGATTAAGGATTATTTAAAAGATCTGCCCTCTCCACTTAAAAGAAAAAATGTGTGTGCAAGAGCATGCACAAGCACATTTCTCCTCATTCACACCCTGTTTAATATGTGCTGTTTTCATAACTTATACCAAGCTTACTGTGTACACATACAGTGGGGACAATATAGTGGACTTTATGGCAGACTCAGTTAACTAACCGTTTGGACAGATGATCACTGCTTTTTTCTATATTGGTCACTTAATTTCTCCTCCACTGCGCGGTGCCTGCACTACTTTGTTATTAGTCGCTGCTGTCAGGTAGCGACAGCCTATGGCAATAATGGGTTACTGTGACAGCAAATCCCATAGTAGTTTAAGAGGAGAGCCCTCCGCGCAAGTCATTCTGGGATATTTATACTGGGTGCAGAATTATTAGGAAAGTTGTATTTTTGAGGATTATTCTTATTAATGGGCCAAAATTGTGTTCTCAATCAATCCAAAAGACTCCTTAATATCAAAGTTTCATATTTTTAGAAGTTGATGTGTTTTGTTTAGATTTGGCCATTTTGTGAGGATGTCTGTGTATGCAGGTAAATATAACTGTGCAGAATTATTAGGCAACATAATAAAAAACAAATATATACCCATTTCACTTGTATTGGTAAACAAATTCAGAAATAAACATTTGCGATATTTAAAAAAAAAAAAAAAAAATCAGTGACCAATATAGCCACCTTTCTTCACTTCATGACGCTCAAAAGCCTTCCATACATAGATTCTGTTAGTGTCTTCATCCATTTGCAATCAACATTGCGTGGAGCAGCCACCACAGCCTCCCAGCCATTGTTCAGACAGGTGGACTGTTTTGCCTCCCTGTAGATCTCACATTTCATGAAGGACCACAGGTTCTTCATGGGGTTCAGATCAGGTGAACAAGGGGGCCATGTCATTATTTTTTCTTCTTTTAGACTTTTTCTGGCCAGCCACGCTGTGGTGTATTTTGATGCGTGTGACGGTTATTGTCCTGCATGAATATCACGTTTTTCTTGAATGATGACGACTTCTTCTTGTACCACTGTTTGAAGAAGGTGTCTTCCAGAAACTGGCAGTAGGTCTGAGAGTTGATCTTGACTCCATCATCAACCCGAAAAGGTCCCACAAGCTCATCTTTCATGATACCAGCCCATACCAGTACCCCACCTCCACTTTGCTGGTGTCTGAGTCGATAAGGAACTTGCTGCCCTTTACTGATCCAGCCTGGTGCCCATTCATCCATCTGGCCCATCAAGACTCACTCTCATTTCATCAGACAAAAACACCTTGGAGAAATCAGTCTTCAGATATTTCTAGGCCAAATCTTGACATTTTTTCTTGTGTGTCTTGTTCAAAGGTGGCCTTTTTTCGGCTTTCCTCACCTTGGCCAGGTCCCTGAGTATTGAGCACCTTGTGCTTCTCGCCACTCCAGACATGTTGCAGCTCTGAAATATGGCACAACTGATGGCTAATGACTTCCTGGCAGCTTCACGCTTGATTCTTCTGAATTAATAGGGAGTTATTTTGCATCTTCTTTTTTCAACACGCTTCTTGCGCCCCTGTTGGCTATTTGCCAAGAACCGCCTGATTGTGTGATGATCCCGGTTCAAAACTTGGCAATTTCCAAACTGTTGCACCCCTCTGAAAGACATCTGACAATTTTTGACTTTTCAGAGTCTGTCAAACGTCTCGCCTGACCCATTTCACCAAAGGAAAGTAACTTGACTAATAATTAAGCACATCTTATATAGATTGTTGATGTCATTAGGCCACAACCCTTCTCATTATAGAGATGCTCACCACCTGATTTACTTAACTGGTAGTTGGCTTTCAAGCCTATACAGCT